TTTAACTGTCCAGATAAAGGCATAATGTTGAGGTATACTTTATCTGAAGTCACTTGAAACACTGTGAAATACCGGGTGCGTTTTATATATCTATATTTAACACGCTCTGTTGCTGCAAAAATCGCCAAATTTCGCAGCAAATATCCCCCGTATAAGAGATCAAAGGCAGTTTCACCGGTCCACGTGGAGTAAAGCACGCCTATGTGTGGACATAGCCAATGAGAAAGCGTGTATTTCAGAGCTCGGAACAAGTGCAGGTGGCTACTGAAAATTGAAACAGTTTAGCCAGTGCCGTGTAGCGGTGAATAAACGTGTTTTCTTTAGTCTGTCCGTGTTTTTTCATAGATTTTATTAGTTTGTGTGTTTTTGACTTTTGAATACTCAGTTTACTTGTTGATTTAATTGTTGTGTTGATTGTTCTTGTGTGTCCTAAATATGGCTCTTTGGAGACCTTGGGAAAATGCTCCAAGCCACGAGGAGATGGTTGATGAACCTGTGCAGGCAGAATTCTTTCATAAAGATTTAGAGGAACAGACCCAAAGAGTAATCCTAAATATGTATGATTGTGTGAAAAACGAAAATCCAGATTCCTCGCAAAATCAAATTTTAAACAGAATTTGTATCCTGACAAAAATCAGTCGGTCTACCATTTATCGGGTTATAAAAAGGGGAGATGTAGTCAACCATTCCTTCCACAGAAAGCGCATAGGGCAAAAATTAAAAAGAATAGACGTGGGTTTTCAGGAAGATATTCGTCGTATAATATACGGATTTTATAAAGGAAATTTGGTGCCCACGTTGGAAATGATACGGGATAAATTAAAAGATTATCCTGAAGATTTTTATAATTACAAATGCTTAGACTCACTGCACTGTATCGTAAAACTGTGTGATTTTCAATACAAAAAATTAGATAAAAGAATGGTGATTATGGAGTCATCTCGAATCGTTGAATTGCGCCAAGAATTTTTGCACAAAGTTAAAATCTATAGAGAGCAGAAAAGAAATCTGATTTACCTGGATGAAACGTGGTATGATACCCATGATGTTGTGCAGTACGGCTGGGTTGACGACAACAACAAGTGCATTTTAAATGCACCATGCAACCGTGGAAAACGGATCATTATTCTCCATGCTGGCAGTGAAAATGGATTTATACCTAATGCCTTGCTGTTATCTGCCAAAAATATCAAAGAATCATGTGCCGACTATCATGAGGACATGACCTCCGACTTATTTGAAAAGTGGATAGAGCAGCAGTTAATACCAAACATTTCCCCAAATTCAGTGATTATTATGGACAATGCGCCATACCATTCCCGACAGAAAAACAAAATTCCGAATACAGGCACAAAAAAACAAGACATTATTGATTTTATGAAGGATAAGGGAATGGAAATACCACAAAAATCAACCAAAGCCATATTAGTGGATCAAAAATTTGAATAAGAGTATGTTGTTGACAATCTGCTTCAGCAAAATGGCCATGAAGTATTACGTCTACCTCCCTATTACTGCATTTTTAACCCGAATGAGTTGGTCTGGGCTGCTTTAAAAAAAAAGTAAGAAAACATAATCAGACCCCTCAATTAAGTGAATCGCTATTGGCCACAATAAGAGATGCAGTATCTCATATTGCTGCCACAGACCTATGGAAGCAGTGTTCTAGGCATATTATTGAAAAAGAAAATGAATATTGTGTTTTGCCTCCTGTAAATCCCGTTGTAATTCCTCCACAAGATGACTCTAGCGACAGCTCCGAAGGCGAGGATGATACATAAATACCTATAATGTAAGTCTTTATATACCTTTTTATATACCTACCTGCTATGTAAATATTTGCCTATGTCAAACGTTGGAATTCTGTAATTTTTCCATTTCTTAACTTTCAGTCAACAGAAATTAAACTCCCAATATAAGTATTTTTTATCCCAAATCAAAAAAATAAGAAGATAGTAAAATCCATTTATTGTGATATAAAAACATTATTATTATCGTTCTAAATAAATGCCGCACGCCTATGATACGTCATGAAATTACAAAGGACGTGCCGACCAAAGGTTTTTATGCTATTTCAAGTGACTTCAGATACACCATACATACTGATGCCGAAATACTGTATTCTTGTACTTTGTCAAACTACCCTGACGTGAAGCTAGGAAACAGCATTCTTGTAGTAGGTAGCCCACGTGTGTACCGGAAAGTGTGCACTTAGCATTAGTTGATGGTAAATAATTGCTCTGCCCTATATTTTTCAACCACAAAGGAGCATAAAAAAGATTTGTATTTGTTAATTCGTCGTGTCAGGGATAAGTAGGTTAGAATGGCGTGCAACAGGAAAATTAGTTCAAGAACAACATACTGAACTAATTTCAGAACAGAATGAACCTTGTAATAAATATGCATTATATTGATGTTTCCGTGAGTGATATACCGTGATCTTCAGAAAGGTTCCCTTTACCTAATTTTTGAACACGGTAAGCTAACAAGCTGAAGATCGAGGTGATAATATTGATGCATAAATAGCGTAAAACTCGCAGCTGAATATTTATAATATTTTTCATACGGAGTGTGATTCCTTATTTTAGAACTCATTATGAGTAGGAATTGCAATCCGGCAGCTCATTCAATCCCGCGGGATTGACATGCGGGAATACTGAATCCCACGCGAGATCACGCGGGATCCCGCATTTTTGAAATTATGTTATAAAATCAAATTGGAACTACATATTTTTGTGTAAAAGTCAACCTTTATCAAACATTTCTTACATTAAGCAACAGAAATTATGTCTTCTTAGATGCATCTTTAAATGTTTCGCATAGTTTAATAGTTTTGTTTAATTTGACCCTTACTCCTAACAACAGTTTTATATTTTTAATTCAGTCTTATTCATATAATGACTAATAATCAAATCACAACTTGCTCTTAGATGCTATTACTATGATATCAACCTATGGTGACAAGTTTTGAAAATACGCTCTTAAGAAGCAAATAACATTTATTGTATCATCTCCGAGCCTGCTTCTGAGTGAACTACAAATATGTCCTGATGCTCTCTCGGCTCCCACGCTAGTAGGCTGAACCGTCAGGATATATTCGAGCGTCAGGTACTCTCCTCTGATACCATCGGACTCAAACAACCCCATTTCTTTCTTCAAAATTTTCTCAAAGTTTTACCGCAACATTTTTTATTTGGGGGATCCGCGAATCTGCGCTTTGAAGGTGCGAGATCCAGCAGATTAATAAAAGCAGGGGGATCCCGCGGAAATGCGATTGCAATCCCGAATTATAAGTACTTTATAACTTTAGAATATAGAATCGAGAACTGTCAAAATCACGAACTGACAGGGTGTCAAAGTTGAGCGTTTTTCTACAATATATTCACTCGCTCATGACTTAACAAAATCATTAAGTGCTATGGAAATTCGAGTATTTAATAACATTAGGAAGATAATATTTGAAAAGAATGTTTCATTTCAAACTGACTGTCCTATATTTTAGTACATATTCGAATGGGCCTTTCTTCAGTTGAGTAGCAAAATGGAAGAAAAATGTATTGTACGCCACTGAAAACGCGGTGCCAATACTAATCTGTGGAGCACCGACGTTATGAGATGAAAAGGAGGACCCGTCAATTACGACGGATATCGTGCGGCCAGGAACCCACTGCAAAGCTTCTCTATGAGGCCATAACATGGAAGTTTGATGAATGGGCAGCATTCCACAGCTGATCGAATGCGATATCAAGAGCAACCACATGAACCTCACCATAAGACTGACTCCACAATTTCGTGACGTAAGCTAGGAGGTCCCGTGTGAATTGGTGGTATCGTACTGCCTGTCGCTAATTAAGCCGTGAAGTAAGTTCTCCACAAGGCCCCGATTTATGCACATCTCTATTACCTTACTTACCTATAACAGAAAGCAGAACTATAGGCCTGTAGTTGTAAGGGTCGGTCTTAGTTTTTTTAAGGGTTGGATGAGCAAATTGGCAGGTTCTGGCTCAGGTTATACATAATCACATGGCAGTCCACACACTTCTTAATATGCGTGCCCCTTTAAGCTATCGGCAGTTACGAACTTGTTTGTTGTCTTGAAACCCGTAGCAAAGTTATTTATTTATTTGGGTGGCACAACTCTTTCAAGGTTGTGTCAAACTCCTGTTGTTTATTTTGGTTTAACTGAACTATCCTAGTATATAAAATCGAAATATGTCAAGATCTAGAAAGGGCTCATTCGTTTAGCTGAGCTTTCTAGTAATTCCATATGCAGATTACAGGCTTTTTTTGCACCTTGTCCAAAATGTGTCAAGGTCTAATCTCTTCGTGTTAGGAAGCACGTATCAATCCCTGCGCCCCTTTGTTGCCCGTTCTCGTTCGCGATGTGCCCTTGACTAAGATGTTCCAGGTCAGCTGGGATGCCCTTCACACTATCCCACTCTGCCGTGCCCGGCGCGGATCCCGAACTACATTACCATGGACGTACAGGGACGGTTCCCTAGGGACAAGTTGAATGGAGTGAACAGGGATTTAACAGAAAAGGGAATTCATGGATGATAAAACGTCACTTAAAGCCTAAAAGGATGTTCGCACTCCTCTGAAATGCTATCAAAGGAGCAGCTTTATATTCCAGCGGCTGTGCCATTGCATTAAATAATAAAAAACTCGTCTTTATTAAGTACATACAGGTACATCAGATCTAAAGGTGCGTATACATATGCGAGCCGAGCGGTTCGCGAGCCGCTTGTGAGCCGCTCGATGGTGGTTCGTTGAAATGGTTTTTTCCGCGAACCTCCAGCGATCCACAGATTCAGCGCACCAAACGCAAACAAACATCGCAGTCGACAAATGCAGTATGGCTTCGCGAAACGAAATTTATACTATTTTAGTGATGAGTGCTGCAGTTTTAGTAATGGCTGATGTAAATAAAAAAAAAGAGAAGACAACGACGTTGGTGGCGTACTAATTTATTCAAGAAACGCAGTGGTACGGGAATTTTAATGGACCTAAAGTCGCAAGAAATAAGCGGACAGTATAAAAATTTCACTCGAATGACACCTACTGACTTTGAGAATCTGCTGCAAAGGATTGGACCCCATATTTCAAAATAGGAGACTTATTTTCGTACTCCAATCTCTGCCCAAGATAGGTAAGTCGGTGTACCGTGGTCAGGTAGCTTTGTTTTTTAACAATTTTTTTAAATTAATATTCTAGGTCAGCCGTAACACTTCGGTTTCTTGCCACGGGAGATTCATATACTAGCCTTCAGTATCTATTCAGAATTTCCAAGCAGTCGATTGGGCGTGTAGTACCCCAAGTTTGTGCTGCACTAATTAAGGAATTGCAGGGATATATCAAGGTAACAACATTAATATATAAATTAAAGGCCTGTGTGTAATTCAAAAATATATTTTTCTTCACTTTAAAGTAATTTCCACCACTAAGTTAACAAACAAAAAATAGAACTCAAAAACGTTACACAAAATCTTCATAATTTTCTGATGTGAGTGACGAAACAGGTGATTGTAGCGATGATGGGTTGGACAATGATGGTTCAGAAGTTGCAGGAACGGTTATTACTTGCAGAGGTTGTGAATAAAAAGTTTCAGAAGATTGAGAATATAGATTATGTGAAGTAGGTTGGGAATACATCGAAGAAGTAGGTTGTGAATTGATATGATTGGTAGCTTGTGACTGTATGTAGGAAGTAGGTTGAGAATCATTGTAAGATTGAATTGAAGTCGGATTAAGAAATCCTCTATCAGCTTTAATAATAAGGTCAAAAACGGCATGTTGAATTGTCTGTTGTATTGGAGGGGGGTATTTTTGAACCTTTGCAGCAACAAAATTAAAAAATAAATCTATTTCACTGGGTTGAGTTGGCTCTTTGTCCATTTTTTTCGCAGCATTCTTCAAAATCTGAAATGCATCACTCATTATTGGAGAGGAAACATTATCTTGTTTTGTTTTTGATCGCTTTGTAGATTTGGAGGTAGATGGTAGCGTAGGTGTCTCTGGTATCGCCTCTTGTTCCATTTGTTCGGAAGATAGGGCAGCTTCGTTAACATCATCCAGTTCCTATTAAATACATTTTCAGTAACTTTATATGTAGTTTATAAATAATGAAATTTTGAAATGAAATTGTGTTAACATCGTATTAGCGATTCCTTTTTTTATTATTTGAGAAGGGTGGTTTTATCTTATTCCAAAATACACCAAAGAAGTTGCGCAAAAAATGATATTAAATAAATAAATTATTAAGATAAGCTAATAATGAATAAAACAGGTCAAAATTAATAATTGTTATTTCATTTCAGCTACCTAAGACTCACACAGCTTGGAAAAAAGTTAGCAAGATATTTGAAACTCGTTGGAACCTTCCTCATTGTGTTGGTGCCCTAGATGGAAAACACGTTGTTTTACAAGCACCAGTGAAATCGGGTACCGAATTCTTCAATTATAAATCCAATTTTAGTATTGTGCTTTTCGCACTGGTTGATGGTGATTATAACTTTATGTTTGCTGACGTAGGCTGCCAAGGAAGAATTTCTGATGGGGGGTTCTTAAGGCAAGCAAATTATTTCAGCAGCTTACAGAAAACAGACTAGGACTTCCAACACCAGAAGAACTAGAAGGATGTTCTATGCAAATACCGTATTTTTTTGCCGGCGATAGCGCATTTGCTTTAAGCGAAAATCTCATGAAGCCCTATACTGGGGACTTTCCAAAAGGAACTCCTCAACGAATTTTCAATTATCGTTTGAGTAGGGGTCGTCGCATAGTTGAAAACGCATTCGGTATATCAAGTGCAGTGTTTAGGGTGTTAAGAAAACCAATGCTCTTAGAGCCTGCAAAAGCAGAGTGGGTTATAATGACAGTCATTCTTTTGCATAATTATCTCAGAAAACACTCACCAAATATTTATACCCCTCTTGGCACATTAGACTATGAAGTTAATGGAAATTTAACTGAGGGATCATGGAGAAATGAAGGAGATATGACGTCTATGGTACCTATACGAAATATTCCTCGAAGACCCACAAACTATTGTACAAAAGTTAGAGATGAAATCGCTAATTATTTTATAAATAATGGAGCTCTAGAATGGCAGGACCAATATGCTTGAATTTATAACAATAATTACTTACCGTAGCAAGTCTTTTTCGTGGTAAATCTCTGTCTTCTAAAAACCTAAACGCTTCATAGGCAAACCATCTGCTGCAATAAACTTCATCTCCTCCTGAAAATTAAAATCGAGATTACAATTATATACGGCAAGTGAACTAACTTAATTAAAAACATATTATTTAGTTGAATTAAAAATTAAATTAGTATTATCAAAAATATTTTGTATTATTATTTAAATAAAACACAACTAATTTATCTTATTATTTCATTTATTTACCTTTTCCTGTACTAGTCCCCTGCTTTGTTTTATTTTTCTCCCGGTGGAAAGAAGCTAAGAGGCTTATTATTTTCTTTTTGCACTGTTCAGCAGTGGTTTCCATTTCATCCGCAATTTCCCGCCAAGCGTCCTCTTTCAAATTTTTTTTGAAGTGATTTTCATTTTTAGGATCCCATAATAACGTTTTGATTCTATAAACGTTTATCAGACATAATATTTTTTCTTTCGACCATGAATCTATAACTTTATTGAAGAAAAATAAAGTTCGCTCGCGAGCTAACGAAAAACAACGAAGCTTGTCTAAACACGTCCCAATATGCACTGCGAATTCCTTTGTGTTCGTCGAAAAAACCGACAGGCCGCGACTCGTCGCGAGCGGCTCACGAGCTGCTCACAAGCAGTTCGTTTGGAACCATAAACCCCGTCTCAATTAGCCGAACAAGTTGCTCACAAGCGGCTCGCGAACCGCTCGGCTCGCATATGTATACGCACCTTAACACTAGTGGCGAAGTCTAGCCGAGGGCTATTCTTACACTTAACCACCAGCGCCGAAAGGTGTACAAAATATACGGTGACATGAGAACAAAAAAAAATATATAAAATCCAAGGTAGCTTAGAGGCATAGAGCAAGATAAAGCATGATACAAATTGCGAACTGTTATACATATAAAAAAGAAAAAGACGGAAAAAAGAATGCACATGACAAATGGTGGACATCAAAATTAAGCAATGACTATGTATAGTGCATTCCACTATTACTCATTAATAATAATCCTTTGATACATTTCCTAAATCGGTTTAAGGGCATCCCAATGTTGTTATAGACACTAGCAGCATTGTATGTGAAACTGCGCTGGAATAAAGATGGATTATGCTGGAGAATAGTGATGGTGCTTCTATGCCTAATGGTTCTATTATGAGCACTACCTGAAAGAATGAACCTTTCTCTAAGATATAGAGGCTCAGATGTAAGCATTTATTTGTCGATGAAAATAAGATAACTGAACTTCACTAAGTAGGGCATTTTCAAGCAGCACAAAGAAGTAAACTTATTTGAGATATGATCAAATCGTCTCAAACTAAAGATAAATCTTACGCAACTATTATGAACCATTTGCAGTCTGTTTTTTGCTATGCCATCGAGGCAAGGATAAAATAAAATATTACACTAAATAAGAACTGGTATTGCAAGTGACTCGCAGAGAATTTTTCCACAGTTTGAAGTTCAGGATAAACTTATTAGCATACAAAGCACGGAGTCGCAGGTAGGATTTCTTCAGGAGATTCTTTACGTGGTCTGTGAACCTAAGTCTGTGGTCGATAGTAACTCCTAATATTTTTGTAGATAGAGAGAAATTTATTTTTTCTGTACCAATCTTTTCCAACAAAAACCTCCTAGGTTGAGAGCAAAAAACCATTGCATTGGACTTTCATGCATTTATGGAAATATGGGCTTGTCCAAAACGGACGCAGGAAAGTAAACGCATATCAAAACAAGAAAGATTGATATTCAAATCAAGTTGGGTACTTTATTTTGAAGGTTCATTTATACCATTTATGTATGAAAAATAATATCGCTCAAATGTTCACCACGACTGGATTTACAGACGTCCACGCGGTGGTCGAAATTTTCAATGACATTTTGCAACATGGTCGGTTCTATGGCATTTATCTCGGCAATGATGTTGCTTTTGAGTTCTTGGAGGGTGGCTGGTTTGTTGACGTAGACTTTGCTTTTCAAATATCCCCATAAAAAGAAGTCCAAGGGAGTCAAATCCCACGATCTTGGTGGCCATGGCACATTTCCTCTGCGCGAAATCACGCGACCACCGAAGAAGGACTGCAATCGATGGATATTGACGTTGGTTGTGTGGCATGTTGCACCGTCTTGTTGGAAATAAACATCGTCCAGATCCATTCCTTCAAGTTGCGGCAAAAATAGTCCTCTATTATCACGTGATATCGCTCAGAATTGACGGTAACGGCGTCCCCGGCCGCATTTTCGAAAAAGTAAGGTCGAATGATGCCTTTTGACCACAAAGCACACCACACAGTCACTTTTTGAGGATGCATCGGCTGCTCTTGATACTCACGGGGATTTTTGTTCGCTCAGATGCGGCAGTTTTGCTTGTTTACCGTCCCATTCAAAGTGAAATGCGCTTCGTCGCTGAACATGCATTTTGATGAAAAATTGGCATCAATTTGGCGGTGTTCAAGGAGCCAATCTGAGAACGTTCGGCGCGAAAAATATTGCTATTTTGATACAAGACAGAGTTTTTCAATATCAGGTTACATTTTTTTAGCATCTTGGATATTACCTACATCAAAGTAGCGAAGGAACTGCGTATCAGCGGTAAAGGATTGTATCTCTAAGTTGTTGACATTTCTTGACAAGTCAGCAATACGTAAAAGAAAAAGTAGCGGCCCAAGGATTTGGCAATGAGTGATTTCTGGCTCTTTAAGGATTTAAAAAAAATCTGCGTGGTCGAAAATTTTCGTCCGAAGAGGAAATCGATCAAGCAGTTAATCAGTTTGTTGAAGGCAATCCAAAAACTGACTGGCTAGAAGTATTTCATTTGTGGAAGGTCAGGTTACAGAAGTGCATTGATGCTGGAGGAGAATACCTTAGACATAAATAAACTAGTTTTCGAGAAATAGTGTTTAGTTTTCGTGTATCTCAAAATATATAGCGTGGCCCTCGTATTATAACGAATGTTTAGTAAAGATGCTTGCGAGAATCTAATTGGTATGCCGGCAATATATTGTTTTCCTCGTCTAATTGCCAAACTAGGTACTGAACTGCTTTTTTTAATTTTTTTGAATCTGACAACAGGCTAACAGGTCGCAAGTCAGAAAATTCATTCGGAGAAAGTACCCGTTCTCAAGGCAACTGTTAATGATACGCGTGATAAACACCGATGTTACAGGCAAACTGAAATACTCAAATAATCAGCACCCTTTGCTTCTGATTTGATAAATTTAATGATGCAGTAAATATCGCTAGGTACCAAGAGGGTAAAAGAAAATGTATTTTCACAAAATCTGTTATCATTATAGTACTTGTATTCATCATCTAGAATAAAGCCAGGGTCGTAGACTGTCGTAAAATATTGACCAATACTGTCAGGGTCATTAAGATGATCAGGTATAGTTGTATTTCCTGATGCCTCCCAAAATATAAAAAACTGCGACTTGGATACTGGTACATCATTCTCAGATAAAACTTCTTATAAATAGGGAGACTGCTACTCACAACACGTTCAGCAGTAAAAACATTTAACTCCACTCCAATGCGGCGGAAGACATTATAATTTTCATCTGCTTTCCACGTAATGAGAGTACCACAAACTATCGTACGCCACCTCTAAAGCACTAAAGCTGTATGTTTGTATACACATGTTACGGGCAATGGGGATCATGGGACATTGACGTGAATGCAACGTTGTTCATATTCTAATTTTAACGTCTTTGCCGGCAAGACTATTATGTAAAAAACCTATACATTGCTTTTCTTTAATGTCCCCCTCCCCTTTGATTTTTTGAACGGATCAATTCAAAAAATTAAAACTTGAGGTAATGAAATTGATGCCTGGATACCATATCTTAGAGTAAAATTGACAGATGAAAATGTCAAGATGGCCGCTGGACGCCATCTTGGAAAAAAATTATATGAAAACGGGGTTCTTGTGGCACATCATTTTGAAGCTCCTGACGAGTACTTTATAACCCTAGAATATAAAGTCAATACCTTTTCCTACTACAAAATGATGGTACATTTAATAATGACTTGAACACAAACCCACTAACATGCATATCTCTAATTCCCTGCCGTATCCACAGCAACAGTGATAAAAACTTGTTTTGTTATTTTTTGCTGACAGTGACAAGAATATCAGTACCAAAACAAACATCATTGTACAGTTAAAATATTCTTATTTAGTTTTCGGTTTTAGTGCTAGATACTGTTTGAACTATTTTTAAAAGGGTCAATTTTATTTATGGTGTGACGCGTAACTTTCACGAGACCGAAAGGATTTTTAATGATCATTTTCCGAATCGTCCTATCTGTAGAAAATCTTTAAGGGAACTTGTATCTAAATTTACAGCTACTGGTAGTGTAAACAACAAAAAGACCCCAGGTCATCCGGAAGAAAAGCAAGTTGGCAATTAGTGAGATCATCATCAAACAGTATCTAGCACTAAAACCGAAAACTAAATAAGAATATTTTAACTGTACAATGATGTTTGTTTTCGTACTGATATTCTTGTCTCTGTCAACAAATAAGTAACAAAACAAGTTTTTATCGCTGTTGCTGTGGATACGGCAGGGAATTAGAGATATGCATGTTAGTGGGCTTGTGTTCAAGTCATTATTAAATGTACCATCATTTTGTAGTAGGTAAAGGTATTAACTTTATATTCTAGGGTTATAAAGTACTCGTCAGGAGCTTCAAAATGATGTGCCACAAGACCCTCGTTTTCATATATGTAATTTTTTCCAAGAACGCCCCAGCGGCCATCGTGACATTTTTATCTGTCAATTTCACTTTAAGATAAGGAATCTACGCATAAATTTCATTACCTCAAGTTTTAATTTTTTGAATGGATCCGTTCAAAAAATCAAAGGGGAGGGGACATTAAAGAAAAGCACTGTATAACGTGAAACAAAACCAATAAAATGTCATATTGTAGACTAGGTAGTTTTTAAGGTGCAAATAGTTTATTCCACGTGTACTCGCCATGATCGTTGTGAGCGACCATCTATGGAGGAATGACTCAACGACAAGCATTGTTGGTTGCAGAGAGCAAGTATATGTTTTGTGAAGCCGACTGGTCTGTAGAGAGGATGTGAAAGAAAAAAAGTTGGTTGAATAGCAAGATCGCATCTGGATGATTATGTGTAGTAGTACTGTTCTGCATGTGTATGAAATCAGTGCTCTATGAGAAAATTATTACCTACTGAATTTGCTGTCAATAAAGTATATATATATAACAACAAGTAGGAAAATAATGGGCAAAATCCGCAAAAAGGAGGAAAGTGAATTCGAGCAGAAAATAGGATAGGTAACCCGAGCGATACGTATTTCTGCTGGTTGGCTTCATCAGGCCCGAAATGAATGTACATATGAAACTACAAAAGTAGATACACATGCCCACACATCCGGATACGGGTGTAACCTGAGGAAACGAAGTTGGAGGGGAAAAAAAACGACACACGAAGTCCACAACAAGAGCCAACCTACACATTGTAGTATAATATCTATATATATATTAGTTGAGCCCGACGGGTTATTATATGTTGACCTTTCTGAAGACAGGTTATGTTCAAAGTTATAAATTACGATCTTTCACGTTTTTTGTTTTCAAAAACTTTGTGGAGCATCACGGGAAACCGCCACCGCGCCCGCATCGT